AAATTATCTTATATTATAATAACAGATTCTTATACAAAACTCTCTCAATAATATCATGAATATCTAGATGTCTTCTGATAAGATAATATTATAAACATATCTTTCTTATAAGATTCTGAAGTGAATCACAGTATTAAGTTAGAGAAAAAGAATGATAAGAATTCTGAATTATTATAAGACTCTCTTTATAATATGTTCTGAGATGAACTTCTTCTTCTTCAAAAGACACTCAATAATCTGTTGAATAAAGAATTTATACACATTAGTAACTCTTTCACTGCAGCCTCTATTCTCTTTATAAAGAAATCAGGTGAAGAACTCTGATTCTGTGTGAACTATCAAGATCTGAACAGATTGATAAAGAAAGATTGATATCTCTTATCTCTCATCAATGAAACCCTAGCACAGATCAGATAAGCTCAATAATTTATAAAACTAGATATTATTACTGCATTTCATAAGATTCATATCATTAAAGAAGATGAATAACTTACAGTATTCTGAACATGTTATGATCTCTTTGAATAAATAGTCACACTCTTTGAACTGATCAATACTCTCAGTATATTTCAGAAGTATATTAACTGAGTACTCTGAGATTTTCTTAATAAGTTTGTATCTGCTTATCTAGATAACATTCTCATCTTCACTGATAAATTCAGAAAAGAATATCAAGAGTATATATGAAAGATATTATAATAGCTATGAGAAGCAGAACTATCAATAGATATTAACAAGTATGATTTTAAAGTCAAGAGTATTAAGTATCTGAGTTTTATTATAGAAGCTGGTAAGAGAATTTGAATGAATTCTGAGAAAGTCTCTGCTATTCTGTGAATGAGAAGCTCTGTATACTGTGAAAAATATATAAAGCTTTATCAGATTTGCTAACTTCTATCAGTGATTTATACAAAACTTCTCAGATATTATGAGATCACTTACAGATCTCATTAAGAAAGACTCAGTATTTCAATGATTAATAAATACTGAAGCTGCATTTATACAGATGAAGAAGATATTCATTAATACTTCTCTACTGATAACATTTAATTCTGATCATAAGATAGTTATTGAAACTGATTTCTCTAGCTATATGATAGAAGAAGTGATATTATAATATAATAATGAAGATATTCTATAATCATGTATCTTCATATCTAAGAAACTAAGTTCTGCTGAATACAATTATAAGATCTATGATAAGAAACTTCTCATAATTATATACTGTTTAGAAGAATGAGACTCTGAACTCTGAAGTATCTTCAAATTTGAGATAGTCATAGATTATAAGAATCTTAAATACTTTATAACTACTTATAAACTCACTGAATAATAGATACAATGATCTGAGTTCTTAAGCTGCTTTTATTTTATAATACACTACTGTTCTGATAGTCAGAACTTAATGACAGATACTCTCTTATAATGAGAGTAAGATATATTATCTGATGTAATAGATACTCACTGAATGAATCAAGAGCACTGACTCTTGAATCTGAAGATACTAGTTGATCAAGATGAAACAGTTCATGACACTATATGTACTTCTTCAGTTAGAACTGCTATTGATATCTTCACTTCTTCTACACTGAATAAACTGTGATATATAGCAGCTCAGACAGATAAACTTCTTCAGACTCTTACTAAAGCAGTATATCAAGAAGCACTCTGATTTTCCTCAGAACTATGTATAAGAACTGATATCTCAGAATGTTCAATTGATAATAATAATACTCTACAATTTTATAAATGACACTGAGTTTCTCACTCTGAGCTCTTACACACTCAGATAATACAAGAGATGCATGATTTGTATATAATCAGTTATTCAGGCTGTAAACAACTGTATAGAATAATCTTCTAAGAGTTCTACTGACTCAAGATATTAAATAGCATCAGATACTTTGTCTGAAACTGCAATTACTATTCTTCTATTATCTTATGAAAGAACTGTAGAAAAGATCTATTAAAATCACTCAATATCTCTGATAGAATCTGACAAGATGTAGTAATTAATTTCACTATTAATCTATCTGAGAGTAAGAGTTGTAGAAACATTCTGATCATTGTGAATCAACTGAGCAAAGATATAATATTGAAATCTTATGATAAGATGAATACTGAACAAGTCATTGAAGCTTTTCTATGAAGCTCATTCTATCAGATGTATGAATTACTGAGATCTATAGTATTGAATCAGAGCTGTCAATTTGTGAGCACTCTCTAAACAAGAATCTGTCAAGTTCTCAAGATTATATACTATCTATCAACTGTCTATCACTCTGAGACTGATAATATATCAGAATGAACAATTCAGATCATGAAGAATTATCTCTGTAAGTTCTGCAATTACTTATAAGATAATTGATATAATCTTCTTCTATATACAGAGATTGCTATCAACAGTTGAGATGTCATTTTAACAGATATAAGCCTGTTCTTTCTTACACACAGATATTATATGAAAGTGTTGAATCTTCTAGAGATCACACAGTTCACACTGAACCTCTGTAGTCTGATTCAGATCACTGATAATATAGTAATGAAACTTTAAGATGTCTGTGATTAAGCAGAGGTCTTCATGACAACTGTGAAACAAGATCAAGAGAATTAAATCAATGTTCACTGAGACTCTGCTGAACAATATAAGATAGAAGATCTGATATAATTGAATCTTAAAAATATATGAATCACATGTTCATCTTGTACACTAGATTACTGCCATGTCAAGTATAAAGTAATAGAAGTTCTAAATAGTCATAACTACTATCTTGACACATTATCAGAGATTTATAATGTATTTCACATAAGCTTGCTTTATCACACTGTCACTGATCTGTTTTCTTTTCAACTGACTTCTGACTGACAGCTATCAGACATCATAGAAGAAGATAATGAGCTTGAGTGAGAGATTGAGAATATTCTTGATAAGAGATCTCATGACTGTGACTGATAATATCTTATGAAATGAGTCAGCTATAATCAACTGACCTGAACTCTGAGTTCTGTGTTATCTGAAACAGCAGCTCTTGACTGATAAGAACTGCTTCTGAAAGAGAGGACTAATGTGACAGGCTGTGCCTGATCAATTATATAGACTATTCTGTTACACTTCACAGATTTCAATCACTTCATTCTTGAACACATATACTCTGATTCTCAGCCATTCTCAATCACTGATCCTCAGCTGCTATGAACACGTGTATATTCTCCCGCCCCGAAGCTCCATCATGTACACCATCACATACACATATAAATATCCACCTCAATTACTGATTCTCACACTTTCTCTTTCTTTTCTTCTCTAACATTTTTATCTTTGTTATATAAGACCTATCAATATTATACTGATCTATTCGGCGTAGACCTCTTACAAAATATGTATATAGCTTAAAATATAAACTACAGAGATCTTATTCTATAGTTTTCTTTTCTGTTCTTTTCTATCTATCTATTTAATATGTCTATCTTTAAGACTATGTTCTCTTTTCTTTTGTCATGATATTATCAAATGATTTCAAAGTATTAGAAGATATTAAAATACTGTAATTTATAAACAGTTTTAATATTCTGAGCTAGAATTTTCTGATTTTACATATCTGAAATTGATAAATATATAATAGTTGACTTTATAGATATAGAAAAAACCCTGAGAACTAAAAGTTCTCAGATAAATATCATAGTCTCTGACTATATACATCTATAATTGAAGAATAATAATAATAATAACTATTTAATTTTAAAACTGTATAATGAGTACACTGATCATGTGATCATATCTAAGATCAGAATCAGAATATTTAATAGTCTTATTATCAATTTAACTGATCTCATTACACTGTTTTAAGATTAGATAGTAGTTTTATACTGTTTCAGTGAGACTTACTATTAACTTTTATTACATTTTTCAAATGAGACCATGATTTTCACTTCTCAATTTAAATTATTTTTATTGCTTTAAATGACTTTAAATCTTATTTAAGTGTTATCAAAAAGTGTTACTTTTTAAAAAATTAAAAATAGTCTAAGAAAAACCTTGAAATGTCTAAAAATAGTAACTTTATATCAAGAATAAGACTAAATGAAATTAAATGAGATCACTTTCTTATTTTTTCTAAGTCATAATCTTATTTTAAGATCTGATGAATAGCTACTTTACATGTTTTTTTAATAATTAATCTCAGTGAGATTCACATTAAGAAATGTATAAGACTAGATTAAATAAGATTAAACATGAAATTCATAATTCTGGCAGTCAGTCTAGTAATAACTATCTATACAGACTATTGCAGCTTTCTATACAGACTATTACAGCTTTCTCTATAAGTAGTTATATAAGATATGTATTTTTTCAATCAATCATATTATAGAATGAGATCTGCAAGATCATATCTTCTATTCTAATCAGGTTTTTAAAGCATCTAATATATTGCTTCGCTTTGCTCCGCAAATTATATAGCAGTAATTATAATTGAATAAGAAAAAGATTATATAATTTAAAAATTATCTCTTTAATCAGAAAAGTAGACTCTTAATTTTATAAAGAGTGATTAAATCACATTTTCAGAACTCTGTTAAAATACTTATAGATTCACTATTAGAGAAATCTGATAATATTATAATCTTTACTGATTTAATAGCTGCTTACTTACTAAATCTGTCTTCACTCAAGATTTCATATTTTAAATGAGTTATTAAGCTTAATAAATATCTATAGAATTAGCTGTATATTTTTATGTGTAATTTTCTATATATATTTTTATCATATAATATATCATCTTAAAATCTAATTATGTTGTTGAGATATTGTTGAAAATATTTCATCATCATGATGGCGAAATGGCGGGCGTTGGGTGTAAGCGGGCGTTGAGTGGTTCATCACGTTAGATGGAGCAATTGCTAGGACAATGCCACTGGGCGGGCACCAACTACAGTGGATATTTTTGATGGGGTGCACGTGATGTTCATGTTACAGCATTTTTTGCATGGAAAAGTTGGTTTTTCTATAATAAATAGAGAGATAATATATATATATAGATTACTTTCTAGAACACTTTTCAATGAATATTCATTGAGATACTAATAATTGAAGTTGATTGAAATAGATTTACAGAGACGGGCGTTGGGTGGAAGCGGGCGTTGAACCCTTCAAGGCCAACATCTTTCACACCACCCCCCAACCCCTGGGGCAGCAGAATGTCCCCACGTAAATCGATTAATAATACCATATAACCTAGATAATGATCATTACATAGCCTAACTAGTCCGAGTTCTTCACCTTTGTTTCAACGGAAGTCTGGCATTGAGCGGGGTAAGATCTCGCGGGCCGCAAAATCCCAAATCCCAAATCCGATACCCCTGTCGAGCAGTTGTGTTCAAACAACAACAAAAATGGCCCTTGGCAGCTTGCCGGAGTTTGCTCTTTTCTTTTGTGCTTCAGGCGCGGAATCGAAACCATCCATCCCGCGACGCGGGCTCTCGTATCACAGGCGCACTGCACTGTTTCCCAGAGGCCAGGTCCGGATCTGCGAACGGCTGATTAATTGGGAGACAGATCTCGTGATGATGTGGGATCCTGTTATGTGCTAAGTAATGTGTTTGTGTACTGTACTTAGGAGTTGGTGGTGGGTTCGGGGTGAGAGTTTGGGTTTCGGGGTTCTGGTATGTGTAACTATACGAGTATCCCTTCGGATCACGAGTTGCCATGTTGCATTTCCAGCGGCTAACTGACAAAAATTCAATAGCAGAAGATGACATAATGAATAATGTCACCAAACGAGATGACAAAGATTTGAAAACGTATCGTTTGAATCCTACTGGTGGTACTCCATACAGTAAAACGCATTGATTCTTCTAACTACAACATATAACATTATTAATATGCTTACCCAAGCTGGCTGGCAAGTCGGAGGGGAGGGTTCCGGACTAAGGTTAAGGTTGCTCCATGGGGCAATAGACCTGGATGATTACAGGAAGATAAAGATATGTGTTGAGGTTGATATCAATGTATGAGCTATGACGGCGCTCCTGGGCTGGGTTCATCCATCCCTGGAACCCCTAGCGAACGCCTGTTTGCTGGACCGAAATCCTGGACATCTGAGCAAGTAACTAACCATGTTGAGCCTGCTCTATTCTCCAGCTGAAAGGGCTCTTGGTGCCTCGGGTTCTGCTAAGAAGCCGTTTATTACACTATATCATCGTGGCTCGCGGCCTATATAAGATATGCTCAATGCCCGTCTTCAAGGGCTCAATTTCATCAAACACCAACTCAGTCTTCACCATAGCAGCATAGGTGAACCGAAGAAACCAAACCGGTCCCCTATCTACCACCACAGCCAAAAAAGACCTTCCCAAAACCAAAAAAATAAAAAATAAAAATAAAAAATAAAAATAAAACCCAACCAACAAGGCCCAAAAAAATGGCACAAACAATCAAACCCCTCCTCCTCTACGGCACCATCCTCGGGCCCCCCAACCCCTTAAAGGTAGCCATCATCCTCCTCGAACTCAACCTCCCCTTCACAATCAACCCACTGGGGATTGCCGACGTGAAAAAACCCACCTTCCACGTCGCATCCCTGCCCTC